GTGACATGGTTTAGTGGTGAACTTGGCAGTGTTGGGGTTACGTTTGGACTTGATGAGCTTAAAGGTCTTTTCCAACCTACTTGATGCTATAATTCTGATTCTGTGGCCTCCCTGCTCACTCACTATCAGCCCCACTTCGCAGAATGGGCCCCAAAATACAGATTCAGCAACCCCATCTCTGTTACCCGTCCTCTCCTACGCCTGACCTTTGGTCCCTAGAGATGTATCAGGATGACACAACCAAGGTGTCTGCCTAAGGGTTACAGTCCTACCTACCTTTAAATTATTATTAAAAAGCTATTCCTACAGTCATTCAGTCTTTCTCAAGGAATCTTTAAGCCATTCTGTTAACTCTTCCAAACTCCCCCACCTTTCCTTTCACCAGACCTCACTACGGACTTGTAAAGGAAGCCTAAGCAAAGAAAACACAACTTACCAGGAAATCCCTGAATATAAATGTCAATATGTGCAATTGTTTAATAAAATTATTTATGAATCTTTGTTGTTTGGGCTAAATGCACTAATAATGCAATAATGAATTAATGAATCAAGTAATGCCCTGAATATTTGACACTAGGGACCAGTACAGCTTTGGCTGATGTATTTTTGTTGAACTTGGATTCCACCTCCACAAATGGGAAGAGATAATTAGATCCTATGTGCAGTGTAAGCCAATGTAATCAGGAATCTTTTTTACATGTGTTTCAGGGAAATTCTGTCCACCAGACATACTTTACATGTGGGAGAAAACACAAAAATGTAGCCCTTAGATATATTTTCTGTAGGCAATGAAAGAAGGTGGCAACTTTCCACTTCTGCTTCAGACTTTTCGTTTGAAAGTCTGTTCTCCCTGTAAGTAAATTCTTCCCTTTGTATTGAATGCCTTTGCTTTTCCCCCTCAGGCTTCAAGGGGGAAGGAGTGCTGATACATTTGCACTGAGCTGTAGCATCTGGCATGGGAACTCTGATGGACATGGTGCCTCAACACACATCACAGCCTGCTGCATCCTCTGTGAGTTTACAGGAGTCCTTTTTTTGACCTCTGTTTGGGATGCCTGATGGAGACATTAGGAGGGGACACTTGGTGGCACACAGGCATTAGTTGCATTAGGCAGCTCTTTTTGCTATTGCTGGAATTATGGCCTCACAGGCCTCACAGCCTTTGTTCCTTGCTTTTATTTCTCCAAGTAAAATTTTATTCACTTGCTTTTATTTCTTCAGGTAAAATATTATTCTCAAGAGCTGAACTGTGGGCATTTCTCAAGGGCTGATAAGAGAAACAAGCAGATAATGTCAATAAAGTGCCTTAAAATCCTTGGATGAAAGTCTTGAAAGAAGGCTTATGTGTTGATACTGGTGGTGCTACTGTGACTCGACCACAGTCTCATCACAGCAACAGGAAATGGAGTAGTAACAGTGCTTTGTAATATTCCTTGCCCGGAATTCAGCAGGGGCAAGTACAAAGGTTAGGGTTATGCTGAAACTGGCCAGCAGAGGGCAATGACACCAACCAAACTGCCATCCTACATATTTATTTGCTTCTTGCAAAGGTAACATTCAAAGGCATCTATTATGATGTTAGAAAACTGAGAGAAAATATTATTTCTGCTACAAGAACCCTGAAAAGCTAGAGTGAAACACAAAATGGGACAACTAGCATTTAATTTTTAAAAGGTATTTTCACCACACATACACAGCTGAGATGCATTTGTGTTACCACAATAAACAGAAGAATGGCTCAGCATGCTCTACCTCTCAGTCTAGCCATCAGAAACGGCCTTGTTTCTATTCTCTGACATTCATATTGTCCAAGCAAGGGAGTTCTGTTTCAAAGATAAGAAACCCCATGTAGAAGCAAATCTACCATGATAAAATCTGTGGTGGAAAACCTACTTTGAGCAAGCCTGTACTGAGCCTGGCACATAAAATAAGAACACTTTGCCTTTTGTTGTGTTGGTCTTCTAGTATGTAGAAGCTCTGTACCAGGGGTATGGGACTGAAAGTGTTCACCTGCATTTCAGACTTCAGTCCCAGCTTTTCTTGGTTGATCCAAAAAGGCATGCAAGATAGGGCTTCTGGCTTGAAAAGCCTCTCCAATCCAAGTCCCCTTCTTCACAGTTCCCCCAATATGATCAGCTGAGATAGTAATTCTGTACTTCTCAGATTGACTGTTATATAGGTCCAGCACTACATTTTTAAAAGGAAGTCCAGGACTCTTTGTGTGGTTTATATGCAAAACCAGCTGCTCAACCCATATGGCTGACAGCTCCCTCACCATCATGCTGTGTAATGTGTCCTGCCATGCAACGGCATGGGGAGTGCACTGTGATTGAAGGATGTGTTATGTATTGTATCATTGCTAAGCTGTAATTGAGGGTAGTGCCATAGACAGCATGTACCTTGGAACTGGTTTGAGTTTAGATGGTAAAATAGCTGTGTCCTGGTTCTGAACAAAGCCAGGCTGCATCGCTGACAAACTGGATCCCTGCCAAGACTTAACATACAAGCTCTATGGACAAATAATGCAGGTTGCACCGCAAGCCCTGACTTACATCACAGTCTGTCTATATTCTGCTGTTGCTCAAATGCATTGTAGTCCTTATAGGGTGGAGCACAAGTGTTAAAAGTGCTTCACTGATGACTATCATTAATGCAACAGAACACCTACTAAGTGCCACTGAGGTGGACCATGATAAATGAACTGGTGTTTTAAGTGTATCATCTTGTCATAATTTAAGCAGTAGATTTTACATTTACATCCTGTTTGTGCTTTGTATTTCTATGCTGTTTGAACAGATTATATCTTTATTCTTAGATTTATGTATTTTTTAAGCCCGTAATTTTGGGTTATGTATCCAGTGTAAAGTCTGTGGCTAGGGACAGCCTGCCTTTGGCTTCTCTGCTCCTCAAAGGACAAGGGTAAATATCTAGATCTTGCAGGGATCGTAAGCACAAAATACTGAATCCACTATAAAATTCATAAAACAAATGCTAAAAATAATCGGAGAACACCTAGCAGCCATCACAAAAAACCGGGGATAAATATTTATTGCTGTCATTTAATGGCATTTTGATTCTCAAAAGTAAACTGGATCAAGGTACTAACCACCAGCACTGCCAGTTAGAAAGCTTTATGTGAAGCCTCACTGTAACCTGTTGCTTTATTTAACAGATGTGATATTACAATTAATGAAAACATAAAAATCTCAAATCCCACTGAACTATGAAAAGTGGGGGATGCAAATATTAATAAATAATTTGAAATTTATGTCATGGAGGTGTGGGGGCTGACTCCTTCTTGAATGCTTTGCATTCATTACAGAGAGAAATTACCTGTTGCTTGACTTGCTGTATTTTAGCTGCATCTCCATACCTGACAGGGTGAGGTGGTAAAATTATACAATTGTTTTTTCTCCTGGTACTTCAATACTTAGCCAGAAAAATATGTTTGTTTTTAAATGTGTCTCACACTTAGAAATGCTTGGCCAGATTTTCTGAAATCTGAAGGCACAGTCTGATGCCACTGGGCAATACTCGCAGTGTTGCTCTGTGAACTTACAGCCAGAGCCCCTGGCAGAAAGGGTCTTCATCCATTCTAAAAGGTTTTCCATAGGTTTTCCATTTTCCTAGATTGCCTGGAGATAGTTGATACTTGTTTCTGGAATGAATGCAGTTACAGTTTAGGAAATTTGCTGGGGATTGTAATACATTCTAGTTTGACATTTTTCTGTCTTTTTTCTTTCGACTTCACTGCCAGGGCAGCTAAAGCAGGGCTGAGTTCTGTGCAATGTTACCAGCTGTGTTGTGACCTGGTTTGCAGCTCTCTGTCTCTACCAGGTTGCTGACAAAGCTGCTGTTTCTTTGGTGCTGTAGAACGATTGCCGAGAGTTAAAGCTGGCAGCTCTTATAACCTTTCCGTTTGCTTTTCTAGCTAAGCAAGGCATCTGCTATTCGCTATTCCTCAACCCTCTCCCTGCCCCTGTGCCATGCAGGGCTTGCTGCGTTTGGTGGGTTTGAAAATCTCTTTTGCACAGCAGGTTTTGCGTGAGTTCGACTGCTGGAAATGGGTTTCAGATGTTTTCCCCAACTCAGTCCTGGGCCTGCATCTTGTAAGCTGAAGCGTTTCTATAGGAACCGTATGACATCTCTCCGCTACTCCCCCAGCAACTCCCTCTTGAGCATGCCCAGTGCGAGCCTTGACTTTGGCTCAACTATCTGTGTGCAGTAACGGGCTGCACATATGGGACTATGAATGCGGTTCCTGATGAGCTCCAACTCTTTGTCTTTGGGAGGAGGAGGAAAAGGTTGTACCCAGAGCTGGAAGACCTGCCCTGTGCGCTCTGAGACCCTCGCCCGTCAGTGGGCTCTTGGAGAATGCTCGCTTGTTTGGCCAGGGGGAATTTACTGGATATTCTTCAGGAGGGCTTCACGGAGGTAAATGCATGTCCCAAGTCTCACACAGACCTTGCTGGGGGAAGGCAGCATGCTTTTGTGCAGGAATTGTTATGTTTCCCAGTGCTTTGAGGAACAGAGAAGGAGAAAAATGAGCAAGATTTCAGGGTGGGAGGGCTGCTTACTAACAGGAGGACATACCAGGCAGTTCAGCCTGGGGTCTTCAAGTAAGCAGTAGTTTTTTGAAGAGTTTGTGGCTGGTTTGCAGCTGGTGTTTTTATTCTCTTCTCAGAGCTTTACTGTTGTTCCAGTAAATAATACAAACTGCAGCTAGGTTATGGAACATAGTTTATTTTATAGAATTAACTCTTCTCCTGAGTATATGAAATCTCCATGTCTGAAGGCTGTTGGAAGCCTGTAAATCTGCTTTGTTTCTTGGGAGAGGCTGACAAAGAAAAGACTGGCTGGTGTTTTCCCCATCTTGTTCTTTAGGTTGAATCTCTAAGGGACTGAAATTTATCCTGGTCAGGAAAAAGTAATTTAAAAAGTGTTCTTTGTTTGCTCTGCTGTTAGGGAGCCTAATAAATCATAAAATAAGGTGTGAGAAGCACCAAGAAATCCCAGAGATGGGAATCTTGTGGCTGTGTGGGGAATGCAGATTTCTGTCACTTTCCCTCTCTAGGGTGCACAGAAAATTAGTTTTGTTGGTCTCTCTCTGGACTCTGTAGAAAATGCCAGGGCAGCCACGGCCTGGCTGTGCATTGTGCAGACCATGCTGGAGTAGATTTCCTGTCTGGTGAAAAGGAAGGAAAATTGTGGGGGCTTGTGCTAAAACCAAGCAGTTCCTGCTATTTGCTTTCTCACCTAGTGGCACGGATAGATAGTCTCATGGTGCGTTTTGTGCCTCCTTGGTTTTGTTTGTGATTAGTGGTTCCTCATCCTTGCAAAGCTCAGCCCCCACCCGACTGTTCTGCCCCATATTCCATACATGAACATCCCTTCTGGGCGTAAGCCATCACAGGGAAAATAAAGTGGGTATGAAACTTGAGCCTCACAGCTTCACGCCAGCCACAGGCCTCCTTTGATTGCTCAGTGTAACTGTGTAAATACTCCATCCCCTCCTCCACAGACTATCTCAGTCTCATTTTTAGCTATTAAAGGTATTGCTTTATCGCAGGCTTACACTTCCTGTGCTGTAGGGCAGCAGATCCCTCTCTGGCATAAGCTAATAGTAATCTGCCTATTAATAATATAATTAATAATTATGGGAACATAATTATTATTATGTTCCCATAATAAATAATAATGGGAACACTATTATTTACATTCAGTGCAACCCCACCCTAACTGTCAGGTTTTACCCACACACTTCTCCGTTGTGGAAAAAGAGTTCCTCTCTCACCATAAAAACAGATTCACTGTCATGTTTCCCACTTAGGATTTCTTTGCCACATCACACGCTTCACATAATAACTGAAGTAAAATTGAAATCAACTTTGCAAGTGCAGAACCTATGGTACAGAGAGATTAAGTGAGTTGCCAAGGACATGCATCACATCACAGTTACAGTTGGAAATGAGTGAGAAACCCTGTAATTCTGTGCCTTCTGTTTAGATCCACCAACTGTACCTCCCCCCCATCTCTTTGTAACTTAGGTGCTTATTTATAGAAGTCCCTGAATGTGAAAGTGGGTCCCAAGGTGTCTGAACACAGCACATCACAGCACTCTGATGTTAGAAAGCTGGAAGTGAGTGGCTACTAAACTAATGTTTAGCTTTAGTAGTCACTAATGTAGTGACTTTAGCAGGTTAGTATCAAGATTAAAAGTCAGACTTAGTTTAACACAAGCAGTGAATTGGGATTCTGCAGGAATTGCCTCACTGATTCAGCATTTTGGTCAATAATCCATCCCTAAAAGTTACCTAACATAGCCACAAGCAAGTTTCTTTTGTTCCTTTGCATTCTTTTCCCTCTCTATCCTGTGTGCAATGAATCATTTTAAATAATAGTTATTTTTTCCCTCTGAGATTACATTGAACAACAGGCCTGGGATTGACTCCTCTCCAGAAAGTGAAATGGAAGTGATTTTTTAAGAGCCCAAGCAGAGGTTGTTTTGAAATCAGGGTGTCCCAACAGCAGCAAAGTGAAATGCAAAGTTACCACACAAGGCTCTGTCTACATGGGGAAATACCCACACATCTTGCTATGTGAGAACTGCTACTCCCAGCAGTATGCATGCAGGAAGTAGGGCAGTGCAGGTTTGTTGTGTGTTCTCTCCCTAGCAGGCTGCTCATTGCCTGCCCCCTCACCAAGTGCTTCATGTAATATTTTCCCTCGAGTAGCGGGTTCTTAGCTGAATGGCATATGCAGTAGGTATTTCCTTGATTTCCCACACATACAGTCTCTCTCTCACTCTTCAAGGTTTGCTCTATCTGTTGGTGGACTTGAGGTGATTAGATGGCATCCGATCTGTGAGATCCGAATGCTTGCTGTGGGAAATGACCTGGGTTTCATTTTGGTTTGTTTTTCTGGTTTAAGTAATTTTCTGGTAGTATGGACTTGCTACTGCTTGTTCTGGTAGCTGTTATGTACCTCTTGGTGTAACATGCGTGATCTATGATTAAAATGTCTCTGCAACTGCAATCTTAGCAGAAGAAACTTGCACTCACCCTCTTCTTGCAGTGAGTGCTATTTATAGGTAATAGGATTCATTCTGAAGAGAGCTGTTTTGACTCCTGTCTCCCTTGTCCAGTTCAGTCCATTAGGACCAGCCCATAACTAAATGCTCCCTGTAGTAGTGAATCCCTCAGAGCCTGGGTTTCACTAAATACATGAAGCTTTTTAGAGATGCTGCTGTTTTCCACATAGTAGGGCCAAGTGTCATTTCACATCAGATTTGTTTTAGTGTGAGTCTTTGGTGTTGTATTTTACATGCGCTCTATGCTGCTAAAGCCAGGGGATGGTCAGGCACACTTGTTTAAGGCTTGGCCAAAGTGGGAAAGGCTGGGATCTGAAGAACCACGTGGATCTTGCCAGGTTGCCTGTCTGGTCTGCAAGAGATGGGCAGCTGCTGCATTGTTATTCTGTTAAGCCTCAAGTACAGACATCAGAAAGCACAGCCGGGGCTTCCCACACCTGGATTTACATGGCAGTGTACTTTAGCAGACAATTGCTTGCTCTAGTAGGAATTCTTACCAATTTTTCCCAAAGCCATTGTGCCTGACCAGCAATAGGACTATTAGCAAGAGAAGGATGTATTTGCTGTTATATAGGATTAGGGGTTGAGCAGTGCCTGAGGTTCACTGTATGTCTAAGCCAGGCTATTACTTGGTTGCATAGCAGTGACTGTCCTTTGGCAGAGTATATTACAGTGCACTTGCACAGTAACAGTCGAAGATTTATTGTTACGAAAGCATTTTACAGGGAACATAAAAATTAGTACAGCTGCTTATAGCTAGAAATTGAGGCACACAGAGGTGAAGTGGGCTGCCAATTTCACAGCAAGTCGTTGTCAGAGTGAGGAACAGTGTCTGTCCTAAATGTGCCTTTGGTACTCTTCATCCTGAATCAGGCAAGATCACTGAGTGTCCCTTTTCCTTTTCTTCATATGAAAGGTTCTTGCCTGTAAAAAGCACTGCTCAGTCATACTGTGTGCTCAGTCTCTTCACAAAGCTGCTTTTCCCTTCCTGTACAGGGGTAGTGACTGAGTGACTGCATTCTGCTAAATAAGGAACAATGCTCCTTTTCTTTCCTGAAGCATCAGGGAATGTCTCAGTACAACTTGTTTTGACAGACCTTGGACTTTGTTTGGGTGTAGTGGAACCATTTGACAATTCAGGGTGAATCATGTGCTCTAAAATACTGGCAGTTTACAGTAAAAGATCTCTTGTGTCTCAGCTTTTCGCCTGTATGCTTGCATAGAAACACTGCTTGTGTGAGAAAATGGCTTCAAAATACCAGATTGGGGAAAATACAGAGACACTAAAACATCTTGCAAAAGTGCCAGAGATTATCCCTAAAGAAATCTAGCTTTGAATAGCAGTGACATTTTGGAGTGTGGATACTTGTCTGTTGATTAAAGGAAGTACATCCTAACAAGGTTAATTTTACATGACTTTCTACCTGGTAGACTCCTGGAGTAGTTGCTGCCTGCAGTGATAGGGAATTTGTGTATGGAATGGATACCATCTTCAGATTTCTGCACGTAGGGTCCACGGAACTCCCAAACGTTTTGCTGCTTGAGTCTTTGAAACTGATCTTAGAAATTAAAGAAAACATTCATCAAATGAACACAGAAGAGTAATCTCTTCCTGTCAGAGACTGATATGGGAGTCTACTGTAACATGATAGCAAGGAGGTCAGGCCCTCTGAAGGCATCTCCATCTTCAAAATGTGCAATACCCTAATCTCAGAGGAGGTGAAAATTAACCTTATACAGTGTGTTGTAGATAGCACTGATAATAAAGGATGAAGTAGCAGATCAAGGCATTGTGATCTACCTGTATTTACTGTGAGGCAGACTGGACTCATTGATGGTTGGGAGGGGAGAAACATGAGCCCTAAGCAGCAGGTGAACTGCACCGGTTAAATGAGAATAGTAAGGACAGCTACAACTGACAGGAGACTTGCAGTAGTGCTGCTACTTTTCTTCCACCTGTGGAAAATACTAGATAATGACAATAGTAATTAACAATAAGGGATTACTAAGAAAAATGTGCTGACCCTGGAAGGGCGTTTTCCTCCTGCATATCATTGGCTGTCAATTGGAAGCACAAAGATATATGCTACTGATCTCCATCGTTGTCTTCCTATAGCCAGTAGGTCTGAGGCACTTCTTCAGGATATGTGCTGAATAAATAATCCAAAGTAAATTCCTACTCTGAGATGTGTTGTGCTTATTGAAGTGCAAACTTGCAATTTGCCAGCAGAAGTGCCTGCAAGTTGGGAAATTCCTTACATCTGCAGTTGGCCCCTAGTACTTTGCTTTAAGGATGTTCTCCTGCCCTGTAAAGTCTTTTAAGTCTTCCAGAGTGACTTGGATATAAACATCATACAATGATTTGCCTAGTATCTGAAGCAATCTGGGCTCCAACTTCCTTCAGGTAAGGGAGCTCCTCTTTCTATTGCAAGGTACAGGTAAATCTGGCCTTTTTTTGGAATGCAAAGCTGTGTTAACATAAACAGGATTAAGCTTAACTCCACCATAATCCTGATAACATCTGCTCTGCATAGTAGATCTTAGACTAGGCTGATATGTTTTTCTTCTGAAAAATCCTTGTTTTGAAAGAAATACTGGTGCAGGAGTAGAGCAGTGTGAACCCGATCAAGTCTAACACTTGTCTCATCAGAAGCTCAAACCAAAATGCAAGGAGAAGCAGAAAACTCCTGAGTTGTTAGTGGGCTTTGTCCCTTCATACATTTAGCACCACTTTGCCATTTTTAGGTCACTAAACTTTCATATCTTATTTTCTTTTTTAAGTTCAGTCACCCGCTCACCTCTGCCAGAAGTGACAGTTTATTCCCTGGACTTTGCAGCAGTCTCTTGCGAAAGTCATTAGATCTCCTAGTTTTTGGATACCAAATCAGGAAATGTTGAGCAGTCCAAACTGTCTGAACTTCTGCAGGAAAATCTTACGCTTTACTGGGGGGAAAAAGAAGCCAAACCAACCAAACAACAAAGTGAGTCTGCTAATGAAATGTAAGTCTGCAGTGTTACAGCAGCTATTAGTATGAATGAGTGAAGAATGTTTGGCGAAAAGAAATAGAAAACAAACTGCTTAGTGAAGGGTCTGGTTTTCCCTCAAGTGAAAAAAAGAAGTGTCTGAACAGAAGAACCCTATGGATTGCTGTAAGAATTGCAAATGTTCTGTAGGCTGGAAGGGGCTGTGCCCTTGTGGAATTAGTACAATAGGACAGTTTAGAACTTTCTGAAATTATTTGAGAAATGACCACAAGGTAGTAAACACAATTGTGATAAGATTATTTCTCTAAATTACACAGACTTCAGATGCAGTTTTCATGCTGCAACCCTATTCAGTACCTCTTGAATCTATTTCTACAATGATGCTGTACTATTATAAACAAACTTACCTCTTTTCTTGGGTACTTGTTTGAATAAATTAATTTTGGATAGGCAAAACTGACACACATCATTGCTATTTCAGCCAAAGAAGAGCATGCAGGTTCAATTCATGTGACAGGCCAAGTCTGCTCCCGCAAGCATGCATCAGATCTGCCACTTCTGCTTCCTTTTCTTTCCAAAAGCCATTGGGCAGTAACCCAAGCTCATCTCCTCTGTTCTGCTCTTCAACTCTCTGCTGAGTGAGCAGAACTAATTGAATGCAGGTCCAGTCACCTTTCTGAACCAGCAGACCGAACCATGGTGTGATTAAAGTTGGATTTCCTATGTCAGGATAATTAAGAGTGAAGCCGTGATCAGATTGTGACTATGTTGGGCTGTAAAAGCATAATCTCTGACTGACATTGCTGAAATAATATGGAACAGAGACTTAAAAAGTGCTGCATCAGCAGAGTAACGGGAAGATTAGTGAAAAGGGAGGTAATCCCATAAATGGATCAGTTTGTTTACCCTCCATGTACCACACTGGCCCAGCCCAAATGGATTTCAGTGTTACCAGTGCTTCTACTAGCCATGTAAGTGTTACTGAGAGGGGGATGGAAAGGAAAAGCTCATGTGAATCTGCTCTTTGCCTTATGCCAGATGGATCCTCACACTGACCAGAAGCCTGAGGTTCTCTTGGTCTTCCCCTTGTGGCAACATACACAGCTATATGATGCAGTATCCAGTATGACCTGCTGGAAAGACAGTGCTCCTTGCTCTCAGGTCTTGCAGAAGCAGCTTGCAGTGCTGTGGCAAGCCACTTTCCATATGTAAAGAAATAGAAATTGGGCCATTAGAAATGTTAGCGCAGCTTCAAGGAAGTTGGAGGAAAGGGACTGTACAACAGTACAAATGAGCCTTGCTGGGAGTGTTAGGGAGAAAGGCTGTTGTCTCTTCCAGGAAATCTGTCCTGGTTGTTGCTTTTGGTAGATGGCATATTTCAATGGGAAATAACACAGGGATTCTTGGCTTCTGCATTGCGAGTTTTCTACTTTCTTGATTAGTGTCACATCCACACTATTTTCTTCCACATAATGCTGTGAGTAAACTAATTCTGGCACCAAAACTGAAGGGATGTCAGCATTTGTTTGGCACCTACCTAAATTAAATGTAATGTAAAGCTATCTTCTCAGCTGTGCTTAGCTCACAAGTCCTGTCCTACTGCCTGCTTGCGCTTCCTGTCGTGGAGTGGAGTGCGCTGCACCACAGTATGCAGTGATGTCAGTTAGTGCTCAGCAGGCTTTGGGATGAGACCACTGGTGTTTGTTTTCAAGGGCAAAAGACAATGAGATCTGTGAACATGAAAAAGAGAGAGCTATGCAGCTTCCCCCTGAAATGACAATGACGTGCAAACATTTTGTTTTCTATTTTCAGCAACAGCTACAGGCGTATGTGGCCTGGGTGAATTCCCAGCTGAAGAAGAAGCCAATAATAAAGCCAGTCCAAGATCTCAGACAAGATCTCCGAGATGGAGTCATTCTTGCTTTGCTCATTGAGATTGTAGGTCAGTAATGCCATATGGCACTATTTTTCATCTTGCAGTTTTAGAGCTTGTGTAGAAGAGGCTGGCCTTGGCTCTGACATCTGTCAGGCATACTGGCAGATGTTAATCACGACGACAGAGCTTGCAGAGGGGGAAGGAGAGACTTTGGAAGAAAACAGTAGTAAAGCAAATCATAAATGCAATTCTATTAAAGTCCTTATTTTTAGGAGACAGAAGTGCGAAAACCTGTCAGGGACCATATTAACTCCCACACAGCTGGAATGGAGTTACGAAAGCATTTAACTTGTAGAGGAATGTTGTTAGTGTGTGGCATTTTTGGAAGAGTGACCTGCTTGCTGGTATCCTTCCTTCTTCCCGGCTTCAACGCTTCTGAATTCTCTACCTCCTCTCCCTGAGCAGTGCAGCGGGGTGGGGAATGGGGGTTGTGGTCAGTTCATTACACATTATCTCTGCTGCTTCTTTGTCTTCAGTCTTTTCCCCTGCTGAAGCAGGGGGTCCCATGCTGGAGCATTCTCCAGTGTCAGGCCTTACCATGGGCTGCAGGTTTTCACCAGGCCCTACACTCATAGCAATTCCTGTGACAGCACCAAGTGGTTCAGTTCTTCTCTAACAAAGTTCTTTCACTCGTTTAGCTGGTGAGAAGTTGAATGGCATTCAGGCCAACCCCACCAGTCAGCAGCAGATGAGGGAAAACGTGGAGAAAGTATTACAGTTTGTGGCATCAAAAAAAATACGCATGCATCAGACATCAGCAAAAGGTATGTGCCCCTGGTGGTTACCACAGATGATTCTGTCTTATGAAGGCCTGTTTCTTTGTTTCATATCAAAAGGATAATATATTGGTTTGTGGGGGAGGTTTTGGGTTTTTTTCCCTCCTGTGGTTTAGTAACAGGTTTTGGGTTGAATGATGCTGCTTTCCTAACTGCTTTTAGTCACAGCACAGTTCACAGAAACAAAAATGCCTTTTCTTCTGCTACTGAGCAGTCAGAAGATCAAGTAGTGGTGTAATGGAGGAATACAGGCTCAGAATCTTTCACTTGAAGCACATATAAACCTGCTACTGTGAAATGGGACGTGGGAAAAACATATCTGGTCCACCGGCAGCCTGTGATACTCTTTCACATGGCCTGTAAATAGGGAGGAGACTCAATATGCAAAATCCCATATCTGTGGTATGATTTAGTCAGATATCATAAGGATTGTTGGTGTATGTGTGTGGATCTAAGGGGTAGAAGACAGGCCCCAATCCTTACTGTTTGCTGACTGTACTGGGAGGGGATACAGTTCTGATTGTGGTCCTTCAGATGAGAAAGAGGGTAAAAATTCTGTGACAGACTACATGGAATGCATGACCCTTGTTTTTAGTGAAGATCTTTGTAGTGATCTTGAGATCCGCTTTTTTGAGATAGTTTGTATGCTGGGGAAAATGCCTAGTGTGATATTATTAAAACTGATTAGTTAACATTTGCAGGGTGCTACAGATTATGGTACAAGACACTATTTCTAAAGAAATACATTGCTATTCTCTGGTCTTTAGTATGACAAAAATGCAAATTCCATGGGCTAATTGAAGTGGCTGCTAGCACAATGGTAGTCTTCAGTAACTACTATACTTTTCCAGTGAGCATTCAGTAATTATCACGTGCTGTCCCATAACCTACTGGATTGTTAGCTGGAATGGCCATAGAGGTAAGGTTCAGATCTGTTCAGAGTATTTGAACATGTGATCTATAGGTGGCAGTCAGTTCGCTGCTCTGTACAAAGCAGGGAGAGCTAAGCATCGATGCTTTAATGAGTCCTTTTTGCACAGTCCTCATTTACTGGCATGGTCCCATTGGGTTTAATTATTTTCATGCTTGTTGGTCAGATACAGCTGTGATGGGACTTCATGTTAATGGCATTGTCCTTGGCTTTATTTACATTTTGCAGATATTGTTGATGGGAACTTGAAATCTATCATGAGGTTGATCCTGGCTTTAGCTGCTCATTTCAAACCAGGCTCCAGTAGAGCAATGAATCACAGCCCTGCTGGCACAGTGGGGAAAAACTTGTCAGCATCATCTGCAGGTCACAGGCCTCGCTCAGCTGCTGCAGTGGCCCAGGGGGCGGTGGCTGCTCTGGCAGATGTTCGTCAAGATGTCTTGCAATCCGGGCGGGATGTTTTCCGGCGCAGACAGAGGTAATGACTTTTCCCTGGTTGTAAGGTCAGATCATGTCAGCAGATGGACACAGTTTCTTCTAAAATAGACCCATCTTTATTCCTGGTTGCAGGTAGCTCTGCTACTGTGCAAACAAATAGAGACTAACCACTGCAGTCTCACTAAAACCTAAATAGATGGTGGCCTAACAAAGGGAAGTACTGACCTAGCCTGGGTGCCTCTTGATGAAGGCTGCAGGCATCTCAGGTTCCTTTCAGGTTTTTCAGCAAAATAACTGCTACATCTCTGTTACCTTACTGGAAAAGAGAACAGTTCATTATGGCCAAACCAGAGAGAACTCTGCTGCCTCATTTTCCCCATTTCATGCTGAGCACACTGCCCTTTTTGGTGCAGTCTGCTTGGATACATTCTCATTTCACGTGAAACAAAAGTATGGTCTCAACTACAAGTACTGGTTACAGATCTGGGAGCAGCTACTCCCAGAATTAAGGCACTGAACCTGTTGTACAAGTCCATTCTATCTTCTACATTGCTGTTCATTCCAGTGTTACTGCTGTATAGGCAGTTGCAGTGTTGTGCACTGTTAATCAGCTGATGCAGCCTACCATATCAGCATGGGAGTTCTGGTGATACTGAAGGGAGGTGATCCATATACAGAAGGAATGCTTCTGTATATAATGGAAGTAATTCTGAAAAGCACATTTAACACTTGCAAAAGGTGCCATGTGGATTATAATAATAATAACAGTAATGACATTTAAATGGCAGCCAGATGGTGGTCCACTGAGGGTTTAATTTACACAGCTGAAGGTCATTTGCCCGTATTATATTGGCCCAAGGGAAGCAGTTTGGAAGTAAGGTTGAAATGCTATATGTTGTTGAAAAATTAAATGTTAAAGGTTTCTACTGCAAATGCCTTGAGCCAAGAGTCCCTCAGAAAAGCAAGTCCTTGTGCTATTTGCAAATTCTGTTCTTTTCTTTGTCTTCCCAGAGCTTTCATAGTTTTCTAATCACAGAATTAGGGATGAGTTTAAAAGGGGAGGGCCTGTTTGCCTGCATTTCCTTCACACCAAGAAGATGGAATGCAGCTCCCTGATAGGAGAATTTCCTTGATCAGCAGTTTTCTAGCTATCCCCTCCTTACCTTCCTTTCATTAGCTTTCCTACTGTCCGTCTTGGAGACAAGAATTTCTGCTCCTATCAGGTGATGCTATCCTCATTCTATGATTATTATCCCCAGAAATAGCAACATGGATGAGGAGATTGAAAACCCCTACTGGAGTGTCCGGGCACTCGTGCAGCAGTATGAAGGGCAGCAGAACATGCCATTGGAGTCCCACTCTTCCAGGTAAGGACCTCTATTGCCCTCATGGACTTTTGTCTGATGTTGCCTTAAGTGCCCTTTCTCGTCACTGTGATCTAGTTAGCTCTGATAGAAAAGAGGATTCCCAGCGTGTAGTCTCCTGCCTGATCTGCAGAATGAAGCCTCAGGAAACAACATGAAGCAGTGGCTTACTGCTGTTTCTCCCACAGATAAAACTGATCTCATTCATGATATGATTGCATACCTGAGAGCTAGGAACTTCTGATTTACAATTGTCTAAAGCTCTGGAGTGTTCTTCAATGAGATCAGAGGAATAGGATTAGGAAGGATGCAGCTGAAGATTTTACTGTCAACCTGAATGGACAGGTGGAGCCTTTGGAAAGAAGTAAGGAGGTTCATTTTCCCAGGACAGATTGCCACTGACAATTTGTCAGCAGGCAGGATGTCTCCACATGATTTCTCAGGCCACTTTTGATGCTCCATAGTACAAAAGGCATCTGCATACCTGAGAATTAAGGTTGCTTGGTCCAACAGAGAAGAAAGAAATATAATACTTTTTACTTATCCCCAAATTTGCTGTGTATCTTTGTGAGCTCCTGTTTATAGATCCAGACATACACATTTGGAGGAATGTGGAAACTCCACGTGCGCCAGGACCACTGCCTCCACATGATGTCAGTAGAGAGTGTATTTTTGAAGCTGTCATTGCAGGGGAAATGTAAAAATTCTGCTCTTCACAAGATTTCATGGCTAATGTCACAGGACATTGGTGTTGACTGTTCAAACATGGTCTCAGTAGGACAGAGAGTGAACCATGCTGCTCTCTCCACCTATTCTTCAGTTTAAGGTAGCTACTGTATTTTATGTGTACTCTTCTACCGTATAATAGATTGTCAGACAGATGCTGCTTGCTCTTTTGTGGCTGTATTTTGGGGGTGAGTGAAAATTTCTCTGCACATCCTAATCACTCTGCGTTTTTTGGTTTTCCCCATAATGTCATGAGTTCTCTTACCATATGGTAACAGTGATATTATTACTGACAGGATATACTATGAGAATCTTCACATAAGTGATCAGTGATCTATCCAAAGAAATTTGGAGCAATCTGATCTCCAGCTCCTGGGCATGTCTTCTGCTGATACCAGGTTTCATGATGAAAACAAGATGCTTGCTTCTCTTTCCTTTCAGACTGGAATATACCAGCTTAGTTATGAGAACTGGCTGGGAGAAACAAGCCACTTCTTTTTTATTATTATTATTCTTTTATTTGAGTGATATGGCCATTAACTGCAGCCACCCCCCTCCATGTAATTGTGCTGCTGTCGTGTCTGTCCCAGGGCAGCATCCCCTGCCTAGCATCAGCTCATTTCTGCATTAACTTTTCGGTAAAAGAGCTCACAGCCCGAATAAGAGAATTCCCAGAGACAAAAGCTCTAATATGCAAAGGCAATTGAAATGATTCATGGAAAAACTGCCAAAATCAGATGGATTCCCAGGCCACTGAGCCCCTCACCCATCCATCTCCCTTTCCCCTCCCCTTCCACCAGCCTTCCCTCCCCCACTCTGAGCCAGGCATCTCAGAGAAAAGGCTCTGCCTTGCACAGCCTGTGTGACAGCAGGAGGGAGAGGGAGCTGGAGATACCGAGGAAGAGGAAGCCGTGCACAGGGCTGGGAAGTACTGCATGTCGTCTTCCGACACTGCATCTAAGCCTGGAGGAGAGGGAACCTACTGCTTGCAGGAGCACCTTCTCTCAGATGTTAGTTGGCGTCTGCAGCAGATGCTTGGAGTCTAAAGAGGGCAGAATGGGATGAGAAAACACCACTGACAATTCCGATCACGGTCCTTGTGATGAAAACAACTGGATGTTCAGCTGACCAAAATGCAGCAGCAAGAAACGAATAACCTGAGAGGAAAACCAGCAAAAGCAAAATCTAGGCTGCAGAATCCCTGACTCTGGAACCAAATCCATGCGTGTGGGCTGCTGATCTGCCATCCGACGGCTTCACGCAAAGACCCTGAGGGTTTTGGTTGTTTTTTCTTTTCTGCTGTGAATCTTTCAGCTAATGTGGAGTGGTCTGGCTTGAAAATATTTCTCCAGTAGTTTGACAGGACCTGGTGTCTTCTGTACTGAATTCTGAGCATGTGAAGGGACAAGGCATGTCTGTAGCCAGAATCCTGAGGCTCCTCGGGAAACGGATTCTGTGAGGCGAAAGGTTAAAGTGGGATCATGGGAGGGAAGCAGGTCAAATGGTGAGCGATTGTTGCCATTGTCATTTGAAACAGCAGGGATGGGGTGTTTATTAAAATGATGAGAGTTCAGACTTACCACTGGGGCTGTTGCCCTAAAGCTTTGACTGTGCAGGCACTGGCAACTCTGGGACTCGGTGGAGAAAGGATATGGGTTAGGAAACCAAGTGGTAAAAGCAATAAAGTGGAACAGTTTGCATTCATAAATCTGTCTTGAATAGCTTTAATTTCCCAGCACTTATTTCTGCATGCTTTAATCATGAATTATGTACTTTAAAGAACAAGTTACATCAGTGGATATTTCATAATCTGTTGATTTGGTGACCGATACAGAAACTGTAAAAATGTTTCCAGCATTAACTTGGTGGCATAATGTAAGAGGCAACCTGATCTGTGCTACTGCTTCATCTGAGTGCATCTCAGTAGCTCTTTGACTGTTTGGCATGGTTTGAGAGGTTGATGTCTCTGATGTGAACCCACTGGCCTTTTAAAATAGGGAACCTGCCTGGAAAGGAGTCTGTGGACAAAAGAATTCCTAAGCAATTATCTGTAAAACTGTCTATGTTATGGAGACCTGTAAGGACCACTTAACCCTGCCCTCCCTGGACCCCTTTAACAGTCATGTGCACCCTGTTTGAGCAGGAAAGAGCAGGTACTGTAGCTGTTAGAGATCCCCGTCGGAAGGTGGTTATTCTTTCACTTAGTAAGTTGCGTTCATCTCTTCCTTTAACACGGTGAAAGTCCGTTTAGCCTGGACCATTAACACTAGACTGCTTGGAGGTCTGTAATATAAATCAGAAGTAGGCCAGTGCTGGCTGTGGGAGTGGACCAGACAGGAGCTGCTAGCAAGTCATTTCCATCTCTATTGCAGGGATTTTCTGATTCTGTGAGAGAGCTGTGGAGTATGTAGCAGCAGTGCTGGGAAGACGTGGAAGACAAGCTGTTGAAGCCTCTTATTTTTCTAGACCTATTATATTGTTTTCACACTGTTTTCTTTTTGTTCTCTGTCCTTTGTTTCTATGTTGCGGAGTATGAAAAATTAACTCCTGCTCACACTTGCAAGGATTAGTTCCTGCGACTTTAGAGGTACACTGAATGGGTCAGTGAGCTTCAGCTACCTTTTGATGTTGTCTGGGTGATGCATTTAGGAAGAATGTCTGAAAAGATTGCTTGAATCTCACAGTCAGCTGAGATGGCTGCGGTGACAAGATGTGGGTACTTTCAAGAAGTTTTAACCTAAGAACATGAGTGACTCGTATCTGACTTCTAAAAATATTTTGCCTTGGGGATTTCAAGTTAGTGAAATGGTGCTTCTGGAAGCTGGAGCGAGAGATGAAGCAAGCCAGGGTGGCTTTTTGTTCAGCTTGCAGTATGAATATAAGGCTCACACTAAATTGTTTCTGAGCAGACCTTCAGTGGAGTTGGTCTTACCCCTGTATGAGAGTATGTGAATTCTGTGGTGACAGTCTCAAACTTGCATTCAGTTAAGGAAAATAAGAGACATGTTGTGCTACTTATCAGTTAGTGTGATATAACACTGATGTGGAGAGATGGAAAAGTTACGTGCCCAGTTTGGTTTCTTAATGGCTTCTCTAGTATGCAGATAATTCTTACTTTCAACAAGCCTGCATGCATGTTCACTGAGCAGCACTAAACTAACTGTTTCTCCATTCCTCTGCAGTCTTACATCACCTAGTCCTATCCATAGTGTGAAGAGCGAATCCACTGTAGCCCCATCAGAGGAGAAGGAAAGACTTGTGATCATCCACACTGAAGAAACAGAAACTAAAACAGGTACCTTGCAGATAATGCTTTATAGCTCACATTTTTACTAGCATTTGCTTGTATTATAAACTTGCTGAAAAGTTCCCTGGTGACTGAAATGAATGTAGAGATTCTGTTCACATGGAACTAAATCCCAAAACTTTTAAGAATACAATCATGCCATAATATGGCAGTGTCTATGAGGCTTGCGAAACAACGTTTGGGAAATAAGAAGCTCTGGAGAAAGATTAAGGGTTATATATAACTTTCACTGTAGGGTGAATGTTTTCAGCACAGCCTCATTAGGCCACGTTGAAAAAAGCATTCAAAATTCCCTTAAAGAGTCCATGTGAGCTTGTCAAGCCCATGATGCGTAACTTGTCCTTGTGTAAGGGTCTGTGTTTACAGCACATCTGTACATAGGTCAAGTGGCTCTTTGTAAAGAATTGAAATGTTTAGTATTGTTGTGGTGTTTGTGTTGAGAAGTCCATTGCTGTATTGCCACAAATGCCCTGTGATATGGTCAGTTTGCATTTAAAATTTTCAGGCAGATTGAAAGGCAGGTTTTCAAAGCAGTTTTCAAATTCATTTTTGTTGTTCGTTTGTTTCATTTCCTTCTCAGAAATGCAGCCTAATAATAGCTCTTTCTTAGCTCTTTCTTAGCTCTTGGCATCCAAGAGCAAGTAACAGAGAAGCTCTCCTAGGAAATGCTTGGGCAGGCCAGTGGATGATAGTTAACCAGTGATTCAGCTTATGCTGTAGGGATCAGAAAAGTGATACAAGACTGTTAAACTTGCTATTAAGAGGAAAGTCTTTTTTAGAATTAGATGTGTTGTCCACCTTGAGAAAGCCATGTTATTTGACAAGTAGAAATACTGTTTATGTTGCCTTCAGTGGGTCCTTGATGCACTCTCTAACTAACGCTCGTCAAATCCCACAGTTGCTTTTCTCCCCTTAGGTATTTCCTGCCACACGTGGTGCAGTGTATTGTCCCCTGTGATGTACTTTGAAATCTCCAGTAATGGGGAATCAGATGCAGCAAAGTTAACAAAGGGGAAGGGTGCTTATCCTTGATACATGTGTATTCAGAAAGCATCCTTTGCATATAGAATGAGGCAGAAATCCTTGAGATTAGACAAGATGTCACACCTGTAGCAACTTCCTTGATACAGGCTAGAAGACATGCTGGTTTGTTAGTGGTAGTGTAGACAGCTGGCAATTATTGTGTGATGCAAGTCTTTTCTGGACTCCTCTGTCTGCCATGACCACATTCAGCTACTCTCTCTTCTAGAAGAGACAGAATCTCATTTCCAGCCTGAGTGGCAAGCTGGGAACCCTGGTCCATATTTGGAGAATTCATGGGAGGAGCAGCTTTTGGAACAACAGGACCATTTGGAAAAGGAAATGGAGGAAGCAAAGAAGATGATTTCAGGCTTGCAGGTAATAGATTTTCTTCTCAGCCAGCATTCCCTTCCACATACATTTCTTTTCCCACCAGAATGAAGAGGTATTTCTGGTAGTGTGGACAGTGTGTATTGGGGTGTATTGTCTGCAGCCAGTGGAAACCTTATCCAGCAACAGAATGCTATGACTTGGCACTCTGACATCTTCCTTTCTTGCTAAGTTTAGGCCCTCTTGGCTCCTGCAATTGAGATTGGTGCTGGTCACCTTTTCCAGGATGGAGAATGACAAAACTGTCCTTTCCAATGTCCCAGATGTATTTTAGAAGACAGATAGATCCAGCTACAGTGTTGCTTGAGGCAGGGTATGCCTGTCCCCCATCACTGTGTAGCATGCTTAACCAAAAGAGCTGAGGGAAGGAAGGAAGATAGATAGCTGCAACTTCCCCAGCCCCAGTATATTTACCAAGGTTTCAAAGAAAGGATTTTAGCACCAGTCTGTGCAATTCAGACACAACCTTTTCCTTTTCTTAGCTCAGACTTCTCCAAAACTTGAACTTGACGTGATTTGAGGCTCTTATTCGGGAGGGAGGGAGGAAGGGAGAGAGAAGGGTGTGGAGAGAGGAAGAATATGTTGCTGTGAAGACTGAAAATCAGTGATATTCACTGGTAGTAATTTAAGTGGACTGTGAGAGGGCAAAGGGCACACTGAATGCAGGTAAGAATGGAACCACTGTAGAGAATCTAAAACAAAGCTGGTGTTGAGAAGGTGATTATGTCTGTGTTGGCTTTTGACTGGAGTCCAGGTCCTAAGGATCTGGGTGGGTTCACTGCCTCGGTCCCCTGTCCTGTGATGCTGTACTAACTCCTGTATGTGCTGGCACTGTGCAAAGCACGTTTGTTACTGTGCCAAATGTAGAGATGCAGCAGTGTTTTCCCGTGTGCTGGGGCTGGGACTCCTCTTCTTCACCAGAGCACTTATCAGCTTGCAGGTTTTGTTAGCAGCCTGAGAGAATAGAGCAGTCTTTCTGTGATTTGTGATCAGAAGTAATGCAGAGAGACAAGGAATCTCAGGAAATCAATCAAGATTCACAGAGCTGATCAGGGGTCACACAGGCTTGCATCAGTCTTTCAGTGAGCTAGGCACATTCTCTACAAAACTATTTATTTCTGGGACCTTTTTCTTGCTGCCCTGTTCCAGTCCCCCCTGACCAATGACCCTCAGCCCAATGTGTTTAACTCTGCATGGGGAGGAGAGCCCTTGATCCATATGGTAAAGACCCTGAACTCTCTCAGGGATATTCCTTTCTGTTTGTGCTGGGAACCATACTGGCTTTGAATTGTAAATATTTATGTGCCAGTAAACAAAGCAGAGATTGTGTGAGAAGCATAGGCAGCCGGGACAGAGGGTGGGTGCGGATCAGAGGCCATTTTCCTCGTGGACAATGGGCAGGAAACAAGAGACTCAAAACAAAAAACCCCGAACAACCCTGGCTTGGTTCACCAGTAACATCCAGTTGCATTATGTGCCCACTGGGAGCAGGGAGAGGCAGCACTGGAGGGACTGGCACGTTCTGTTCCTCCAGCCCTAGCCCCATGTTTCAGGAGCAAGGGTGAGCAGCTGGCATTGCTGCCCCCTCATCCCCTGGGAGTAGGAAGAGGCAGCTGATGCTGCTAGCCAAGAAATTGGATTTGATTAATTGATTTTCCTGCTCTTGCCCAATACTTAAGAGCCTCCAGTTCACGAGAGTTTGATCGAAATATCAAGGGCCTAATGTACGTATACCCCATAAGGCACTAAAACTGTGGCAACTTTTTATGTTCCTGTGTGATTCCTGCTTGAGTGTCCCACTGAGAAGAGTTTGGGAGGCACTCAGAAAACAGTTTTCCAAGAAACTTCTGCATTAACTGAATAGAGATTGCTATTTGCTGTTTGGCCGCAGTTGCAGCTCTTTGGTGGAAGATTCTATGAGCAGGCAGAACCTGAACTGTCAGCCTTGAAGTCATTTGGGGCTGAACTGGAGTATTGCTGCAAATGGCATATTCTGGTTTTAGCCATGGAGTTAAAATAAAGTAGAAATCTGACTGAAAGAAAGAGGCATGACTCTTTCCAATGTCTGCAGTTGTATGCAACATCCTGGCACGCACCAGATTCCCTGTGTCCTGGAAGTCAGAAACCATAACCACTAGGGTATATCTTCCTGGAGATCTGGCCTGGTCCTGCCAGTCACACTTCCTATGGTGCACTTTTTCATCCTTCAGGCTGGTTCAGTCTACTGGAGGAATTCTGGCATCTTCCTGTAGCCATCTGGGCTACTTTGGAGCTGCTGAAGGTGGTAATGCTGTGCTGCTAGTAGCCTTCCTGAAGCACAGAGTATAGCTTAAGATTTTCACTGTCTGTGTGGGCAAGGGCTCTTCCCTCACTTGGGGAACAGTTCTGAACATGTCTCAGCCTTGGCGAGTGTAGAACAGAATTAGGCTTCCCTGAACATCCTGTTTCTAAAGTCTTTTGTAGATATATGGTGAGAAGAATGGCTTCTTTCAGCAGGGGATACTTCAGTCTCATTCCAGAAGAGAAGCCTTACAACGTAAACATGGTTCAGTTTGCTTTAGACTTCAAATCTGTTACTGTAGTGAACGCTACCTTTGGTCTGAAGCCAAAGACAGACTTCACTCCCCAAAAATCTGAGTAGTTGTCCTTGTTTGGTATCTTTCAGTGGGCAAGATTATTGGCTGATAGATATCTCTGAGAGAGCTTTCTCAGGGGATAGATCTTCTTCTTCATTCCTGAAAAAGTTGCTGGTTTTTGAGAGGAATAAGTCAGCAGAAATAGGAAATGAAACTGTTTAGAGACTGTTGATACCAGTGACTGTTAGCCAGAGCTGCAGGTAGCCTGTTTCCCTTTGAAACCCCTGAGGGGATTTTTTTCCTTCATCTTCCCAGGCTTTGTTGCTCAATGGGTCTTTACCTGAGGATGAGCAGGAAGGGTCCTTTGAACTTTGTGAACGTGGAGCCTGCCCTGAAGAGCAGCTGGTAAGTACGTTGCTGTACCTACATTTCTCTGATCAAGCTGCCCTTTGCAGTGTTCTGCCACGGGCAGGTGTCATGCACAGTAACAACCATGGTATTTTACATTCAGATCATAATCCGAAGTCGCCTGGACCAGAGCGTGGAAGAAAATCAAGACTTAAAGGTTAGAGGGGAAGGAGAGGTTTTGGGTCAAGAGATCTTTGCAGACTCTTCCTTACTTGATTTGAAGCGGGAGGTTGGTGGACAACATGACATAGGGCATGTATTCTGTTAGGGCTCTAATTCTGTTCCCATATTCTTCTGCACGGGAACTCCATCCCTCCAGGAGTGTAGATACCTGCTTCCCTGAGACCATAATTTATTGACCCAGAGAGCTCTCACAGTACATGATTGTGAAGCCTTTACTGTATCCATATTAGCAGTTAACAGAAGTTTGTGGGATAGCTCCCATTAAATTTATTACTCATTAAAATGTATTGAGTATTACTCATTAAAATGACTCAGGGCCTGACACACTTTTTAATCTGTGGGAAAAGGTGGGATGTGATTTCTTCTGGAGCAGGTGCCTGGGGATAGAGAACACCGACTTTGGTTGATTCTGAAGGGGTGAAAAGATGCCATTTAATCAGATTGTATTGCATTTGCAGAAGGAGTTACTGAAATACAAACAAGAAGCTCGAAACCTACAGGGAATAAAGGTGAGGAAAGGGGCCCTTCATAAATACTAGAGTCTGCAATGCACAGGTAGGGCCAGAAGCAGCCATACACCTCTGAGGGAGGTGTATTTAGGGGACTTTGAGGTGGGGGATCCTATGGTCTGTTTCAAGCTCCAGGAAGAGACTACAGTTAAGTCAGGCCCAAGGAGTTAGGTCTCCTGAGTTGTGTTTCTGTTGGTAGGACTGTGGTCAAACGTCCTCACTTTTGTCTGTTTCTCCTAAAGAAAATACAAGGTGTAGGATGCCTGCTTGGTTCTCACAGCTTTCCCCCCATCATCTTGTGGTATGCACAGTAAAATTGGCCCACTGAACTTACTCTTGACAGTAGAGGGAAAAAAGCACAGTAGAGGAAAAAGAGGGGAATCTTGGTCCTCTTCAGCTGCAGCATTGTTCACAGTTCTGGCTCCTGTTTGCTCAGTTCCTCCCCCTGGAGTTCTGAACACTAATAATATACTCCTAAGCAGAGGTATTTTTAGAGCTGCCTGTCAGGCTCCTGTGAAGGAAGCAAACAGCAGTAGCTATCCAAGGTAGAGCTCTTGGTTTGTGGATAACAATGAGTGAAAGGTGCAGAATTAGCCCTGACTTTGGCCTCTTCAGAGAGACTAGGTCACACTGAGCACTTAAGTTTCCTTGTGTCGTTAGCTGACATTGGCCTCTTTTTGCTCCCTGGATGCTGCAGATGTATGGTTGGAGACACTAGCTGTAGGCCACTGAAAAGACCCTCTAAAGACACTGCTGTTTTCTTCCATAAGAGTAAATTGTCAGGCCACTTCTGGAGCAGAAAATCCAGGTAGAAGCACAGAAATCTACGTCTCGGATGGCTAGAATGTTGGCAGGGGAATCACTTTTATATAAGAGAAAGGCAGAAGGACTGCGGGCTCATTGGGCTCTCTGGAGCCGTGTGAGTGGCCCCACTGTGTTACAGCCACTTATCTAGGTCACTTGCTTCCCAGGAAAGGGTTTCTGCCTGTGTCTTGCACCTTCCTACAGATAATATGTTTTCCTAGGATGCTTTACAGCAAAGGCTGATTCAACAGGATGCGTCAGTTCTTCAGCTAAAGCAGGAACTGCTGAGAGCAAACATGGACAAGGAGGAATTGCACAACCAGAATGTGAGTCACTCTGCTGCTGAGGGTTAGATTATTTTAGAAGGAGGTTGGTGGCCCTGAGGGCTCCAGCAGTCACAGGGTGTGGAGTTGGTGGTTGCAGCATAGTTCTTGGGGTCGTGGGACAGTGAACGACCAGTCAAAGGTCTCTGCATAGTGAAAACTGCACATGGTCTACTAGCCAGCTGTGGGACTCTCTGGAGTTTCTTGTTCTTCACTCCCACTTCCTGTGCTCCAAGACCTTCAGCTGAAACAGGGTGGTGCTTTCCATGATGTTTTGAGTACAGCTGCATTCTTCCTTCCTCACTGTGCTCCCTGGATTAGCAAGTGGCACTTTGACAGGTGGACCTACCACGTACAGTTCCCTCTGGAGAGAGAAAGGCAAGGAAGGAAGTGTCCTGTCCAAAAGGCTGCATCCTTAGACACTGTCTCCCTTGAACTCTGCAGATTTTTGGTCACCCTTTAGAGCAAGGGGCAAAGAGGTTGTCATTCTCTAGGAATACCTACCTCACACCTCTGTTATTTCTGCAGGTTGACCTTCAGAGGAAGGTTGAGGAGAGAAACCGGCTCCTGGCAGAATACAAGGTAATGGAACCTCTCTTCACTGGAGGCTTTGCTGGGGGCAGCATCTGGTGGTTCTTCACTTTTGTGAATGTGACTGCTGTCTCCCTGGCACTCAGTCACCTCTGGGAATGGCACTCTGGATAGTTAATAAGTTGCAATAGCCATGGATGTTTGTAATGAGATGGAGGGATCAGATGTTCTGAGTGTTCTGTCCACAGCTTTGTATAGATCTTTTATTATCATGGTTTTCCTGTGGTGGCTTGCTAAGTATCTAACACTTGTGCTGAAGCCTACAGGTTAGGCTGGGCCACCTGGTTGTTCACTGATCCCTCAGGACTCTGTTTTCTCTGGGACAGTTGTCTGGCCTCACTAGTGGATCTCTGGGCTACTACTACCTGATGATCTTTTCAAAACAAGCTTTGACACTTAGTTCTAACATGTACGTAGAAGTACACGCATTATGTAAGTCAGCCTAAAGAAGAACCTGATCCTGGCAGATGGCATAACCTTCCCTGCCATGGTAAGATGATTGCGAGCCTTACTCACTGTCCTGATCATAGAATCATGGAATGGTTTCACAGAACGGTTTGTGTTGGAAGCAACATTAAAGCTCATCTAGTTCCAAACCCCCTGCCATGGGCAGAGACACCTTCTACTAGACCAAGTTGCTCCAAGCCCCATCCAGCCTGGCCTTGAACACTGCCAAGAATGGGCCATCCACAACTTCTCTGCTGTTTCTCGATTACTGTGTTGCAGAAAGAACTGTGCCAGAAGGATCGGCATTTACAACAGCATCAGACCAAACTGGACGAAATGCTTAGGCAGCTTTCTGAGGCCAGCTACCAACAGGTATGGAGCAGGTGATGCCCTAAGGTGATGCCCTAAGATGATGCCCTGAGAGCTGGCATGCACTTTGGTTGCTCAGTTTCTGCTGACTCTTCTACTCCCCTCACAGGTGGATTTGGAGCGAGAGTTGGAGCACAAAGAGGCCTTGCTAGCTCACTGCATGAAGAGAGAGGCTGAAGAGGTATGGGAAGACTTGGTCTACACATCAGACTGTTGGAATGATGTTTCTTTCTAACAGGGCTGTCCAGCACCCTCTAGCTACCTATATCCAGAAATCATCCACTTCATCCCAGAACAGCCTGGCTCTGCAATCTCATTGTCAGTGCCCTAACCAAGGCAGCCAGACTCCATAAAGCATCCACCTTAGCAAAGCTCTCAGCATGAGCATTCTGTCTTAGTGTCTTCTGTCAAAATCCTAAGAGATGAAACAGTGAGGGGAGCACAGGAGTGAAAGCCAGAGGCTCTTGGCTTCCAGCTTTAGCTCAGACACTAGCTAATGGTTAGACCACAGCTTAGCTTCTTGTCTCCTCTTCTTCCTACTGACCCTGCTATTGAGCACTTGGAATAGCCCCAGTACTGGTCCCTGCACATACCACTTGAACACTTACTAGAGCTTGCAGAGCCCTCTGATGTAGGAGCAAGCCCCTTCCTGTCTCTGCCTTTTCTTCTCTACCTGTATGAGAGGAATCATTACCTATAGGAGAGCATGCACTCTCCTTACTGAGTGTATTTATCTGATAGAAGATGGGATATCGCCAGTGTGGGAAGCTTTCATGTTCTCTCATCATTTTGATGTTCACAAACTGGAATCTTTGGGGAGGTACTAACACTTGCATTCCTAGTGGCACATGCATCTCCCCCTGAACAGGTGATGGCTTGCAGTGGACATAGTCCTCAGAGCAATGGTTTCCTCCAGACAGCAGGGAAAGGAGCTGCTCCCACAGCACACCGAGGGGTAAGTATTCCTATGGGCTATTTTCCCAGCCAGATGCAGATGAAGGCTTCAGAGATATTTCCCCTTTCTAAGACCTGTGGCTTTA